TGCCTCGCCTCTGCCCACCACTGCTGGTGGAGGCATTTCAAAGAGCAACTCAAGACAATGAGTACTTGTGAAAGTAGGAACCGGTCTCTATAATGAAAGAAGAAAATACCCCACCTGCCCACCCAAAGAAATTAACAAAAAAAGGTAAAAGCTGTAAAAACATCTATGTCTCCAACTGCACGTTGGGGAGATGTTGTCCTGTGTAGGGCAGGGAGAGCACAATGTCCGTGGTGGATGAAGCCCAGGGAATTTATGCGTGTAGTGACTCTCTCTGTTAGACTGTGTAGCACAGTGCTACGAAACCTGCTCAGATTTGTAGGCCCCATAATTTGTTTCAAAGGATTTGCTCTCTGTTGCCTTTTATACGCACCCCAGGGGCAGCCTGCAACACCACAGCTGGAGGCTGCAGATGTAGAACACTGAGGTTGAAAATTCATTCCTCTTCCTGGAAAGAAAAGAGCTCAGAAATACTGCAGGTGGCCCCCAAGGCAGCCTCAGCTCCAGCATGCCACTGTCTGGCACTCAGAAGGAGAGCTAATATCTCTGCCCATCAAACCAACACTCCCTATCCTCCAGGGCTATCTTTCTTCTTTGGAGGTTTCCCATCTAAGCTGCGAACACCTTTGTATCATCTATTAGCCTGGCTGAGGATGAAGGGTTTGTTTGGAAGTCTGGTTATAAACTCCTGCCTTTAGACGTGGGAATGAGAATTTGCTAGATTCGTCTGTTAGTAAAATGAGGGCTGTGCATGAGCCGCTGCTCAGTCAGGCATTTTCGAGTGTTGCTTCCCATGAGGAAAAGTGTTCCCATGACACACAGAGCCAGTCTTTACACCCTGAAGTAAAATGAGGGCTGTGCATGAGCTGCTGCTCAGTCAGGCATTTTCCAGTGTTGCTTCCCATGAGGAAAAGTGTTCCTATGACACACAGAGCCAGTCTTTACACCCTGAACTTTTAAATAAGGAAATGGAGAGGTTTTCACGTCATATAAATTTCCATTAGGGAAGCAGCAGAGGAGGAGGAAGGGTGGGGCTGGCTGCTCAGCCAGGGAGCGAGCCGAGCATCCAGGCTCTATCAGTCTGCAGACGAAGCTCCGAGGTGGAAGCAGGTTTTCTCACTCACCAAGCCAGGGCAGGCTGTTATGAAGTTTCCTCCACAGCCCTGGCTCTGGAGGCTGTTTCCTGGTTACAGGGAGATTCTCCAAAGCTGGGCAACCTGTTGGCATAACTTTCTGAGTTTCCTTTGAGGAGAAGCTGGGTGCATGGGGGAGAACATTGCAGCCTGCTCTGTCCAAATTGTGGAGTCAGGATACAGACCAGGCTCCAGTCACTGATCCTTACTTAGCTCCCTAGGAGGCCTGGAAGCCAACCTTCATTTTTCCATGCTTCCAGCACCTGGAAAATGGAGCTTCTCTTCACCTGTGGGCATTTGTCATGCCGTCTTCTGGAAAACACGCACACTCAACAGCATTGTTGGTGGATCAATAATTACTCCTCATGCTGTGTTTTGAAGGTCAATGCAAATTTTTCCTCCCCTCTCACTTGCTGTTCTCATTTTTGATGTATGAGGTGGTGGCCACAGGCAAGTCTGTGTGAAAGCCTTAAAAGAAGGCACGTTTTCAATGAGCCTGTGATGCTCTCATGCCCAACATCTGCCTCTCCTTTCATTGAACGCCAACGACTCCTGGGCTTGCAGTGATACGAATTTTCCACAGGTCTCTCCTGTAGTTCCACTTCTTCCTTCAGGCTTCCTTCACAAACTCATGCTTACATTCAAGCTCAGCATGAGTAATAGGCCCAAGCAGTAACTGGAAGATGAAGCAGGCAAGCTGCTGGTGGAGAACAATTTACTGAATGATCTTATACCATGTTTCTGCTTTGGGAAATATGACTCTGAACCACAACCACTGTAGCTTTTACATAGACTTGGGTGGTAGCTGCATCATAGGCTGACTGTGAATGAGATTTCCTTTTTTCTAGGCTAATTACTCTGAAATTCATTTTTTGGTGTGCAGGTAGCCAGCTCTATGCCAGTGTACCATCTGCCTGGGCTGCGTAACAGCCAGTACTTGTCATAGGCGTGTTACACTCTCAGCTTTTCATCTGCATTTAGGTGGGTAATTGGAAGAGCATAAAGGGAGCAGGCTTTCTAATGAACTGGAAAGGTCAGTGTTCCCAAACATGCTCCCTTCTAGTTATGGATATTCACATAAAAGCCATCTCTCCTAAGTGGTGGGATGGAGAACAGGTTACAGAAGAGAATAAACAAACCAGATCAAACCAAAAAGGAGGTAAGTGGGTGTGTGGGAACACAGGAAGCATTTGGGACGTAAGACATTTGCAGCTCCACATTTGTTGTGTTGACTGGGTCTCTAACAAACACCTACTGAAACATCAGTTTTGCCCTTAATGGGTTTTTTGTGAACTAAGTGATCATAGAAGCAGTTAGAGAAGTGATGAAGGATGCAGACAATAGTTAAAACTCCCTGCCTCCAGCTGAGCTTAGGACCTCAGGTTTGCTTTGACTCATGCAGGATGAACGCCCATGTCACCCTTCTCCACAGTGAGAAGTAAGTCCTATTGCTTCCTCCTGACTTGGAGTCTTCATATTTATTTCAAGAATACCTTGTATGCCTGTGATTAGAGACCTTTTCAGTCTTGAATGAACTTTGTCAGTCCTGCACCAAACTTCCCAGTTAAGCTGGTCACATGTTTATGCAAAACACATTTCTATGACTTTTCTTTTGTTAACAGAGTTTTTCTTAGCATTGATTTTAAAACAAAATAAAACAAAGCCAAATCCATAAGGAACAGTAAAAACGATTTTCTCTTACCAGTATCCCAGCTCCCAGAATGCCATGGAAAAACCAGACCAGATCGGTTATCTCACTGAGCTGCAGAACTTGTCCATTGGGGAAGTACAGGAGGATGTTGCAGACTATGGCACACGCTGCCAGTGGGAACAGGGTGATCCCAATGCACTTTGAACACTTCCCTGTACACATGGTAGCTCTCTCCTGAGGAAAGAAGCAGGGAGGATTGGGTTACTGCAGCACAGGGAGCACGGGATTTCAGCAGTTTCTGCTTGAATGAAAGAAGGATGAGTTTTGAAGCAAGAAATGTTCCAGTGAAGACACAGGTAATTGTGCTCTACAGAGCCTGTTAACCCTTCAGACACTTTATTTAAAATGGAATTACTAAAACCTGGAACATTTACTTGAATTTATTTATATTTGCTAGGACTAAACATGTGTTGATATGAAATAAACGGAGTTTCATTTTTGTTTTTAATGGACAATTGCCTGTCCCTTGCAAGAATCAGTAACAAAACCATGGCTGCATAAACTGATGTCCTGGCTAGCAGACTTGATGGTGGGACTAAGTGGAAGGGAAGGTGGATGCACTAGGTTGTCTAGGACCACTGCCTTGGGATGCTGATTTGGTACCTCCTGCACTGAAGGTCTAGAAGAGCAGGAGATGGCTGACAGGAATGCACAAAATGTTCAGCCTTGCCTTAGTGCTGGAGCAGGCAGGAGGAGCTTCACCAGGGCCTATTCTCTATTTCAGTCAAAAACACACTGTCAGCAAGACTTGGAGAAACTTTCATTACTGTTTCCTGTGTCATGCTTATTCTGCACATAAGGGTAGATAAGACTGCTGGTTACAGGACTGTTTGGCACCCACCCTCAAATATCTGAAAAACTAGAAACATGGCTAATCCTATTTGCTAAGGGCAGGTCACAAAGCCATCCCACCTCATTTTCAGAGATCTGCCACATTGTGTGAAGCAGCAGTTCATTGTTTCACAGCAGTAAGGTTCTTTTAGAATCAAAGAATCATCATAAATAAGAAATCATTGAAAGAGGTCTCTGCAGGTCTCCAATCCTAATGGGACTACTACCAACACTAGGTCACTGTGCCAGCCATGGCTTTGTGTAGCTTAGCTTTGAAACCCCCAAGGATGGAGCTACCACCACCTCTCAGGGTGATCTGTTGCAGACCTGCCTCAACCTCCTGGTGAAAAAGTCTTTCCTCATGTTCAGTTTGAACCTCCCAAGCTGTAACCACGGCTGTTGCTCCCATGCTCTCCAACCACTCCATCACCTCTGTCACTCCCTTCCAATTTGTTGTAGGCTGCTATTACAACCCTCTTCACCATAGTGAGCAACCTCAGCTCATACTGCACCCACACTATGACCTATAGCTGAAGAGAAAAGGCTGATGAGTACAGAAGTGGATCCACAGATACTTCTTCATATCAGGTTGGAATTTTCAGACTACTGGGTCAGAGATTATCGAACTTTCAGACTTCCCTTAGGTTTATGGCACAAACTGATCACAACTTCTTCATGATATTTTATCGTAATAAAAGCATCACTCCAGCTCAAGGCTTTCAAATGCATGAAAATATAAAATATCAATCTGTGTGCTTCTGTCCTCATAGAAAGCTGATGTTTTGTGACATAGAGGCTTTGCTCTCATTTGAGCAAGTTACAAGGAAGATGATCTGCACACACGCCATTTCAGTACCCACACATGTTACACACGCAGCCATGCACGCACACATGCCTACGTTTGCTATATGCAAAGAGTTTTTGTAATAACCAAGGCAGTGAACAGTGAAACATCCCTCAATTTAATCATGTGCATTGGCTAATCTTGAAAGTTGTGTGACAGAAGTTGGTGTTGAAAAGGTATTAAGTAGGCAAGGATTACAGAAATCAAGCAAGGTTGGGTTCCCAAGCGAAAAAGCCCAGGTGAAAGACAGTATGAAGACATTTGAGAAAGCCAGAGGTAGGCTGAAACTGGCTTCATTGACAAAACAAAGACAGCAAGAGGTGTGGTAAGTCATGAAGACAGACCATTGTCCTCAGACCTCTGTAACTCAGAGGGAAAGCAGAAAGACTTTAAGGATGCCGTATATTGCTGTAAGGTAGCTGAGACTGCCAGAGACTTGAGTTTGCCTTTCTATTGCAAAAAATTTGCATTGTTCTCTGCTGCTACAGGTTTAATAACAGCACTCTGCTTATGTGCCTTTTCTTCTGAGCACTTTACAATCACATTATGCTTTTTAATCCAGCTTTAAAACAAGCTAACTGGCATGAAGCTATTCCAGAAGGGAACATTTTTAACAGATGCTTCGTAATTTATGGTCATTACCTATTGTTTATATAGTGCTCAAAATTGGGCAGGGCATTTTGCAAGCCACTGGAAAAAGCCCCAGCTCAAACAGATAATAATCTAAGCAGACCAACAATGTGCAATTGAAAGATGAAGCAGGGAAGGAGTGGAGGGGAAATGGAAAGAAGATTGGCTATTTCACCCATTTTCTCTCATATATCCAATGTATTTGTGAACTTTTTACATTGACTTTTGCCTGTCCACTTTCCTGTCTCATTCCAGCTTTTGCTTTTCCATGTGCTTGCCCAATCTCACCTACATCCCCTCCCCAGAGAGAAGCAAACAAGCACAGGCACAGCCTGACCTCCTTCTACAAAAGCTAAGTCTTGTAGGTGAGTTATAAACTCTCTTCTGCATCTTTCATACATAGCCAGAGGGCCTTTTTCTCGCCCGGTGTGAAGCAGCATGACGCTGCTTTGGCTGGAAGAACTGGGGTTTACAGCCCATTCTCTCTGACCTATCTCAATACCACTTCAAACTGCAAGGAGAACTCACCTAAACATCAATCACCAGACCTAGTGAGCTCCTCTACCACCACAATCAATGCTGCTTTGCTACCTGTGTACATCAGAGGATCCGACAGTGTTATTACAGCTTAGGAAAACACTCTGAATTGCCACAAGCATTCAAAGCACTTTATTAATTCAGCAAACAAAAGCACTTTCTACAGCTTCGTTAAGCAAGGTGGCTAAAGAAAGCTTCAGATTTTTAACTAGAGTTTTGGAAAGTTTTGCTTTTCAGTGCTGAGGGAAGCATGTAAATATCTTTGCTTACCTTCTACACGGGTCTAAGTTGTCCTCCAAGTTCCAGAGTTCCCTGCAGCTGGCTTCAGGCTTTCCAGCTCTTCTCTCCTGGAGCGTGGCAGTCTGAGGGTGGCACAGCAATGTTTTCGAGTGATGGCCTCCTTTAAACAAATAGCTGTTGCTCTTCAGAGAATTAGGAAATACCCTAAATTATCCCTGGTTGGCCAGCTGGAGGTTGGCGTGTCACCCAGTGTTATCGATTACTTTCAGGCAGTGTTCCAGTGGTCAATGCCTTGGCCCCCTGGGACACACAGCTTGGAGAAGCGGAGACCTTTTTACTGCTGCAATCATTTCAGCCATGCGGTTTGACAGAAGAGGAAAGGCAGGAGATGGTAGTGGTGTAAGTGGCTGAAGCATGAAGTGGTGGCACGGCAAAGTCTGGCCATCGGTGTGGCATCATCTTCTGCACAATGGGGTTGTGGCTGTTAAAATGCAGCATTGCATTTGCTGCAAAGCATGGGAGCAGTGGGTGAAGAGAGTGGGGATGGGAAGGGAAGGGAAGAAAATTCTCACTAAGTGCAAAAAAGAGAGAGAAGGGCAGAATGGCTGGAGAGAAGGGAGAGGTGTGACCAAGGGAGGAAGCAAGGAAAGAAAAACACAGCTCCAAGGAGGTGAGAGTAGGAAGATGGAAGGGAAATGAAGATTTGCTCTGGCAGAGGAGAAGAGAAAAATAGAAGAGACACTAGGGATGGGCCAAGAAATTAAAAACTCAATGAAGAGCATGAAGAAACATTAAAATTAAACTGGGAGCCGACTCATACTGAGAAAAAGGGACTTTTGCAGAAAATATGATAGTAATAATCATTGAAATATGTCCAAACACAAAACAGTATAAACATATCTATTAGTTGGTAGGTTAGATTTGGCCCCAGTCATGCTGGGAATATGCTCAGATCCTTGTCTTCAAACGAAAACATAAACACCCCCCTCTGGAAGGCACCTGCTGTTGCCTTGTTCTCAACATCCAGAAGGAAGGATGACTTGACCACAAAAATATTAACGAAAGGGGCACATGACTGAAAGTAAAGATGCAAAATATTCCACTCTCCACTGTGCCATGTCTCATTTTCATTCTCTAATGTCACTACAAAAGATTGGTTGTACAGTCATGTATACATGACTTAGGATGTCCATGAAGCAGATGTAACCCTAGGTTGCATTTATTCCTAGTGAGAGAAATAGACACTTTATTATTGTTAGCATTAGTATTAAACACAATTCTCTTACTGTTTCAAGAATATCTTTAGAATTGCTCTCTACTGAGTAGAATCCATATTCAGTCTTTGATGAGATATGGACTAAAAACTGCTTGTTGTGAGGTACAAAAGGAATGCCAAAAAGAAGAGGAAAATGAAAGCCTGTGTTAACACCGTAGGGCCTGACAACCACTTGTTTTCCTGAAGTGATAGACACATCCTAAAGTAATTAAAAAGATCCCAAAAACCAAAACCCCAAGCTCTAAAGCACTTAGAAAAACTGAATTTTGTCTGTGAGGTGTTTAGTGGCTAAGCAGAGTGTGTATGATTGTGTACATCTGTTTTTCCCCCTGCAATATTGACTTTGACGGCAATGAAAGCATTTTGTGTTCCACTGATCAATGCCTCCTGATTGTATTGACTTACTGTACATCAGTTCTGGTCCTCCTTTTATCTCTATCCTTTTAGCCATAAACTCTTTATTAATTTTCCAGTTACACATAGTAGCACAGGTACCGAGAGTGGAAATGTAAATATGTGAAAAATCCTGTTCATTGTGCTAGAAATGAAAACTGTTCCAGCCCTACGATTTCCCTGGGTAGTGTACACGTGAGTTAGACACTGAAGAATTATAGCCCCATGCAGGTTTTTGAAGGGCATATCTGACTGCCCACTTACTCTATTAATAGATCTGCCCCATTTGGAATGGAGCTGCAGTACACTAACAAGAAAATGCCCTTTTTGCTGTTGGTATGATGTGTAAGAGGAGCCAGGCAGCTCTGCTCTCAGTTATAAAAGTACAAATGTTAAGTGGTTCCTCTGAAGTAAAA